CAATTGAGGCTCAATAAGTTTTTTTTTTTTTTTTTTTTCCCGCTCCATATCTGCGCTATATCCAAACAGGTTTAAAGGGGCGAGGGAAGGATTGACCGAGCTAGCCTCGCCTATGAGTGTGCTCTATAGCCTGGTGGACTTGACGCTAACATGCCGGGGGCTGATTGGGGGCGATGCATCGTCGGAGGAAATGGACGCCGATGATCTCAGGGGGTTCTATATTTATATCGTTCGATTATGTTTTTGTTAACCTTTAAAAAGTAAATAGTAAAAATATGCCCTTCTCAGGAGAGAGCAAAAAGAATGTTCAAGTTCCAACTTCAACTAGAGTGAGGCTGATTAAAGGGTACGAACTGGGTACCTCGAATTGTAGGTGGATCACCAGCAAACTTTAAGTACTGTAAAAGTACCGACGGCTCCGGCGCTAGCGGTCTGCTGCCTACCTGCCTTCGTATCAGATAAAAGCCCCCATCTTCCCCTCTCTCCCATCTTTGCTCTTCCCACCTTGGAAGATTTCCATCTCATTTCCATCGAAATATATATTCAACATCGGTGTCGGCTTCACTATGTCCGTCACTAATGTTTTGATGCGTCGGGGCACCGAGCTTGTCGCCGCTCACATGCAGTCGTCGGATAGACCTCCACGACAGCAGCCTAATGGAGGATTGGTGGCTCTGTTTACTATCACTCTTACCTTGATTTGTTTTGCTGTCTGGGCCGTAAGTAACACAATTTTCCAGATATAGTCTCGTGTGACTAACATTCGACAGGTTGAGTATACCTATGGAATGGTGGTCTCCACTCTTGCTGCAGTTGAAGATACCAACCCCGATATCTACGTGCGCATTACCCCCAGCCCCGATCCCACGAAGCCAACCAATGAGGAAGATCCTGAGCTGGTTGCTCCTACTCCCCCCAAGCCTATTACCAGCAAGCTGCGCACCACTGTGAAGCACCTGCGCTCCCGTGCTGGCTACTGGTCTCGCTTCCGTGGAATGGCCATGTTCGTGGGCTACACCATGGTCCGTGGCTTACTGTCATCTTTAATCCCTGTTCCTACCACTTCATACCTGGGCCAGTTTGTTGCTCAGTCTATTCTGAGCGTTCTCCTGGCTACTTGGCAGATGGCCTGGGTGCACATTGTCATCTCCGAGCCCTCCCCAAAGAGCGCCTGGCAGCGTATCCCCAGCTATAAGACCTGGATTAAGATAGCCCCAGCTGCTGCTCTTCAGGATGTTCTCACCGCCGCTGCTTTCTTCATCCCCATGGCCCTTGCCAAGTTTGCTGGTTGGCTCGATGTTCCCGGTGACCAGGATATCCCGCCTATGGTAGCCATCTACCGTTTTATGGGCGCTTGTGTGATTCCTGCTCTTCTGGCATTCCTGATCTCTATGCCCGCTCGTGTCATCTTTGTCCGGGTGGCTGCCTCCATGCTTCCTGAGGAGGACGAGACTATTGTGCCATTTGATCGCTCTTTCGGGGGCAAAGTCAGCCCTGCCATCACTGGTGGCAGCGGCAAGATCGGCCTCATGGATGCATGGACTACCTTTGACTGGGCTGCCCGTGTCCGCTTCGCCAAGGTTATTGGCAAGACATTTGCCATGGAGGTGGCGCTTGGTATCTTCGCCGCTTTGGTAATCGGTGGTGAAGTCTTTTGGATGTACAAGACTGCCAAGCCCGTCGACTCAGATGCTCCTGGGTTCCAAATCAGCTGGGAGTAAAAAGCCATTGAGATCCGATGAATATCAGGTGGTCGCGAAGAATGCTTAGGATGTGTGTGTAATTGATGCCTTTGCTATATCTATATCACTGGGAGAGATTGAAATGTTTGCCCCATACGATAGTTTTTCAACTTATGAACCACGAGATTCAAACATCATGACATTCCTAAGGTCCTCACTAGCCCTCCAGATAGTAGCTGATTATGTGCCATGGTGTACACCGCCTCCCCATCTAGGCCATTTAGACCCCGCTTTAGTCTTACCGCCTTCATTTCTTTTTGCGCCCCTCGCCTTCTCCTCACCTTCTCCTCTTTGTCCTCCTTTTGACATTGAAATCGGCTTCGGATATCGACCGAATTTCCCATCCCCGTCTTTCTGCTTTTTCTTCCCTGATTATCAGCATGGCGACTTCTCCCGCCGGGCGCATGCTGTCCCGCCAACTGCAGCAGATGCAGTCCGATAAGGACATCCCCGGAATTAGTTGTGGTTTGGTCGATAACAACGTTTTCGAATGGGAGGTTATGCTTATGATATCAGATGATGTGAAGCTTTATGGAGGTATGCCATGATTGTTTTATATCTGGATTTAACATGAAATTCCTGGGCTGGTGCTGTGGCAAACACAACGCAGCCTAGGGATATACGTTGTTCTGCCTTCATTGTGTTGAAGGATCCATGGATATTGACAAGTTTGCTTGCATAGGTGGTTTCTTCCGGGCCCGTCTCTCATTCCCATCAGAA